CACGCCCGGCCCCCTTTGTCTCCCCAGTGGCGATGTTTACACATCGCACCAGGTACTCATTTGAGGCTGAGTCGACCTAGGGGAGGACCAGGACCGGTTCAGATAATCGTCACTGGGTGTTGGCCGTGAGCGGGGAATCGAACCCGGGTCGCCAGGTTCGTAGCGCAGCACGCTAACCGCTGCACTACCGCTCCCCACTACACACACGCCCGCACTTACACACACACACTCACGCCCGCACTTACACACACACAGGCTCGCACTTACACACACCCCGGTTCGTACGCGTCCCTCTCAGCGTAAGCGATGAATGGTGCATTGCACGCGGAGGCGAGTTGTGATTGGCTGAGGAGGTGATGATGGCTTCTCCAGCATCACGGAGACGAACATACCAACAAAAATAATAATAAAATAATTAACAAAAAATTCACTCCGTTTTTGAAAGATCCGAGGCTGGGCACGGGAGAGCCACATTTTAACGAGACCACAAACAACACAACACGCACGACGTAGCACCAATACACATGCATACAAAGACCTGGTCGCGTTACATGAAGACCAACATGAACACAGCATCTAAAGATAGAGGAGCTCACGCCGAGTGGGAAGTTGTGATGGTGTTTGAGTCGACACAGAATGACACACACAGCCGTCTCCATGGAGAGTGGGTCTCGCGTGCCGGAACCAGAGAGTGTGCAGTGTGTGTGTGTGTCACGAGTGTTCTCTGTGTATGTGTGTGTGTCAATAGTGTTGTGTGTGTGTCACTAGTGTTCTGTGTGTGTGTGTGTCACTAGTGTTGTGTGTGTGTCACGAGTGTTCTCTGTGTATGTGTGTGTCAAAAGTGTTCTGTGTGTGTGTGTGTGTATCACGAGTATGTGTGTGTGTCACTAGTGTTGTGTGTGTGTAACGAGTGTTCTGTGTGTGTGTGTCATTAGTGTTCTGTGTGTGTGTGTCACGAGTGTTCTCTGTGTATGTGTGTGTCACTAGTGTTCTGTGTGTGTGTATCACGAGTATGTGTGTGTGTCACTAGTGTTCTGTGTGTGTATCACGAGTATGTGTGTGTGTCACTAGTGTTCTGTGTGTGTATCACGAGTATGTGTGTGTGTCACTAGTGTTCTGTGTGTGTGTCACTAGTGTTGTGTGTGTGTCACGAGTGTTCTGTGTGTGTGTGTCAATAGTGTTCTGTGCGTGTGTATCACGAGTGTGTGTGTGTCACTTGTGTTGTGTGTGTGTCACTAGTGTTGTGTGTGTCACTAGTGTTCTGTGTGTGTGTGTCACTAGTGTTGTGTGTGTGTAACTAGTGTTCTCTGTGTGTGTTTCACTAGTGTTCTGTGTGTGTGTCACTAGTGTTCTGTGTGTGTGTCACTAGTGTTATGTGTGTGTGTCATTAGTGTTCTGTGTGTGTATCACGAGTGTACTGTGTATTGTTACAAGTGTTCTGTGTGTGTGCTGTATTTCTCACCGCATGGATATATGTCAAGGCCCCCTATTTCCGAAGTGTGTATACCGATATGTATATACACCATGCGTAGTATGTATATACGTGGCCTATTTTGTGCATATATGAGTGGCATATGTAGGTGCCCACGTGTCTAAGTAAATGTGCGTGGATCTCTCTCTGGTGAGCCGCGTGCTTTCTCAAATAGAGCGGCGATCGGGGAATTATTTTCCATCTCAGCCCTGTCCGCGACATCGACTCAACAACTTTGCATCAGATCCTCCTCCTCCTCCCCAGTTGCATCCGACCCTTCGCATTGCTCACGGGACTCACAATTCGCCCACTTCGCCCGCTGTTTGTGGTGTCTGTAATTGCCACAGTCAGAACACACTCTGCGTCCCGTGTTCTCAAGACGTCTGTCTGTGTGTCTGTGTGGGAAGCTGTCGTGCAACAACGGTGAGCGCGCGGCGCTACGAACCCGGCGACACGGGTTCGATTCCCCGCTCACGGCCAACACTGGTGGCGATTGTCTGAACCGGCCCTGGGCCTCCCCTAGGTCGACTCGACCTCAAATGAGTACCTGGTGCGGGGCGGTAAACACCGCCACTGGGGAGACAAAGGCGGCCGGGCGTGGTGTTGGCGTGCCGTGTCGGCCTACATAGGTGCTCGCTAACAGCACTTGCCCCAACAGTCTGTTTTAGGCTATACGGGGTATCTTTACATTTGTATATTTCGTGGTATATATATGTGTACGGAGCATTGATCAAGTATGTAATTCGCATTGACGTGTTCACACATACACATGCATTGCTTTGTAAGCATACGTGCAATATACACGTACTCGTTTAAGGTTGAGTCAACCTAATTGGAGGCCATGGACCGGTTCAGACATCACTCAGGTCGCCGCATACGGAATCACGTACGAATACAACACGCACGCGTACTCATGCAACGCGTCGTGTGCATAAGAAGCGTGTGCCTCCCCTAGGTCGACTCAGCCTCAAATGTTAACATCGCCACTGGGGAGACAAAGGCGGTCAGGCGTAGTTCTGGCCACCCACCCCCTCGTGTACCGTGCCGGCCTTAATAGGTGCTCGCTAACAGCACTTGTCCCTACAGTCTGTTAAGGTTATATGGGGGATCTTTGTCGTGTGTGTGTGTGTCCACACGTTTGTAAGAACACGCTGAGTGTGTGTGGGCGCGTGGGGAGCGGTGGTGCAGCGGGTAGCGCTCTGCGCTACGAACCCAGACAGCCCAGTTCGAGTCCCGCTCCTGGGCATCCTCTAAGTCGACACCAGCCTCAAATGGTGGTGATGGTGGTGGTGATGATGGTGATGATGATGGTGATGATGTGTGTAAACGTCGCCTGGGGAATCGAAGGCGGCCGGGCGTGGTACTGGCCACCCACCCGCTCGTGTGCCGTGCCAGCCTTCCATTTCGAATGTATATAGCGCCAGCACTTGCCCCAAATGTCTATGAAGACTACACGAGGGATCTTTGTCTTTGTACATACAGTACTGGTAGCTGCAGTGGGTATGCTTCATGCTCCATACCGACTGCAGCGTCACTCGTGTGCGCGCTGTTCATCTTGGAGCGTGTGTGTGTGTGTTTGTGTACGAGGATGTGGTGCGCGTATTGAATTATGTATATGTACGAATGGGGTCTCCATGTATATATGTACTAAAATATTTTATAACATAAAAAAAAATGTAGGAAACGAGTTGTGAATGTACGTGGTTTGGATAAGTTAATGCAATATGTTTTGAGGGTATTTTACACACGTACGTATCATGAACGGTGTTATCTACATATCCATGAAATAATGTGTGTGTGTATAACGTAAATGTGTAGTATTCATTCCAATGTTTTTTACCTCTTTTAATCAACAAAGTCGTTTTCCAGTGCACAAAGAAGCATGGAGTGGTGCATTCTTAGAATGACAGAGACGGGGGGGGGGGCACGTGGAGTAGAGACGGGGGTGGGGGGCACGTGGAGTAGAGAAGGGGGGGGCACTTGGAAGAACACGTGGAATAGAGGATACAAGCGCGTTCAAGACGTCATTCACAATGCAGAGAGATGCGAGTGGGCTTGGGGGTCAGACCGCCTTTGTCTCCCTAGTGTCAATGGTGGCCAGTGGTCAAGAATAATAACGGAGTGGCAAACAAGGACTAGAACGCACTCAAGGGAGTCGGACCTCCGAGGAGATGGAGCGATAGAATCAGCTCGTGTGCGGGTTTTATCGGTGGATCATTAATTACATCGCGAGGGATGGTGGCTGCTTGGGGGAGAGGACCTCATCCAGCAGTGGGTCGACCATGGCTGATAATATACGCGATGCGCTACGAACCCGGCGCACGGCTCCCTGCCCCTGATTTCCGTTCACCAACCCGTAATAACCAGCGTGGTGAAGTATGGCCCACTAAACCCTGATGACCAACACGGTTATGCGGGAGGCCTTCATCCAGCAGTGGATCAATATTGATTTGGCTACAAAAGTTATATGTGTAGCAACATATACATAACATACGGAGTGTGTTTACGCACTATGTATATATATGTGTATTCTGACATACGCGTGCATGTTTGACGTTTCTGTGCAAACACTGTGAACGTGTGATGCTTCTCTTCCGAAGTACACGCGTAGCTCCACCAATCACACGTGGTGCTACGAGCCCCGACTCCCATCACAATCATCATCATTCTCATCAGAATCATCATCAGCCACCAGGCACCAGAGCCCCGCGTCCTGCATGCCCAGATCCTGCATCATCATCGTGAGCCGTGATCTATCCACTGCTCTGTGCAGGCTTCCCCAAGCCGTCGGCACCTGCCTGCCGCTCCGTTGTTAGTCTCCACCATCGCCATCGTTCCGCCCAAGCCCCACTCGCTTCTCTTCAGCACTTTGGGGTGATGTCGTAAACTTGCGCAACATCTCTCTCTCTAACCCACGTGTTCCTCTCTCTCTCTCTGCCTCGCTCGCCTGTGTCAATTCCAAGCGCGCGTCTCTCCACGCGTGTATCACTCTCATCACGGCCTATCCACTAGTGGACGAAGATCTATGTAAAGTTGTAAACCTGCCCGACAATAACAACAACAACACGCGTGCCATAGGAGGTTCCAATGGTGTAAATGCTTACCCCGAGCTCTCATACTCTGGTGGTGTATTGTCTTTGAGTTGTGCGCATTTTGGCGTCATCTGGTCCAACACCATGTGAGACTAGGCTCTAAGAAAAGCTGTCTCGGGTGTGGACCAATCAATTTCAAGGACGGTGCATACATTATCAGAGTTGTGTGTTTTGTTTGCATTCCGACCGCAGGTATTGTGGTCAATGCAAACATGACTCCTCGTAAAAAATGTGCCAGTTTTGTTGCCAGATAAAAGGGTAAAAAAACAATTATCATATTTTGCTACTGGAAAAGGAGGTCCTAATGGAACACGCGTGCCATCTCTAGGAGCGTTCAGACCCACCACCACCACCTCCATCAACGGGTTAACTAAAACCGAACCACTCGTCCCCGAAGGAGTCGCAACAACTCCACATCGGACTCGACGCTCTCTTACCGGGGTAGGCGACGGCCGGATGGTGGAGAAGCTCCATACCCGGAGCGCCCAGACCCAGGCCGTTCATGGCGTAGGGAGACTGCTTGAGATACGACATCATGCCTGGGACGCCTCGCTCGAGCTGCTTGGGGGGTGGGGGAGGCGGGGTGGGGGTAGCTTCTGGACGAGGGGAACGAGGAGTGGCGGTGATGCCCGAGGAGCGAGTCGCAGGTTCGTTCCCGTGGTCAGCCTCCTGCACAATCGGTGGGGTCAGGGGAGGTCGGGAGGGAGAAGGGAGTTGGTTAGTGGTGGTCAGTGGGGAGCGGTGGTGCAGTGGTTAGCGCACTGCGCTACGGGCCCGGTGAAACCGGGTTAGATTCCCGCTAACGCCCACCACAAGTGACGATTATTTTAATCGGTCCTGGGCCTTCCCCTAGGTCGACTCAGCCTAAAATGAGTACCTGGCACGGTGTGTAAACATTACCACTAGGGAGACAAAGGCGGCCGGGCGTGGTGCTGGCCTCCCACCGGCTCTTGTGCCGTGCCGGCTTTCGTAGGTGCTGCTCGCTAACAGCACTTGCCCCAACAGTCTGTTAAGGCTACACGGGGGGTCTTTGTCTTTGTTTGGTGGTCAGGAGCGAGCGAGATGACTCCCCATCTCTCTCGCCCCCACAAAGTACAGTCATCACAATTACGGAACTGGTAATTAGTTAATTGATATTCACGATTAAATTGTTTTTAACCTCTCTACATTCGTCAAGTACTCTGCCCAGAAGTTGAACTATAACTGGCGAGGTTTCTGGAGTTCTTGTGCACGTGCGTGCGTATTTGTATTCTTTTACGGCCGCGTGTTATTTGTGCACCACAGCCAACGCAGCATCACAAACATCTCGCCTTGTAACAGACCAATGGAGCGTTCTGACGTTTGTCGAGCAAATTACCCTCGATAAAGTTCATCAAAACATACTTCAAATAGGCTGTGCGCGCGCTCGCTCGCGTGTGTGTCCACCGGTTGTGCGACGACAACGCAAATGTTCTTCGGTAATAATCACGATGACAACAACAACAACAACAAAAAGTGTCACTCTCGAGAGAGTAACTTGCACACGCGTCCACGTTGCGATCCGATCGCGATCGCACGAATCACACCGCGGTGACGTCACGGCGTTCATGCGTTAAAGTGAACGCGTTGTTAAAGTGAACGCGTTAAAGTGAACGCGTTAAAGTGAACGCGTTAAAGTGAATGCGTTGTTAAAGTGAACGCGTTAAAGTGAACGCGTTGTTAAAGTGAACGCGTTAAAGTGAATGCGTTGTCAAAGTGAACGCGTTGTCAAAGTGAACGCGTCGTTAAAGTGAACGCGTTGTTAAAGTGAACGCGTTGTTAAAATGAACACGTTGTTAAAGTGAACGCGTTGTTAAAGTGAACGCGTTGTTAAAGTGAACGCGTTAAAATGAACGCGTTAAAGTGAACGCGTCGTTAAAGTTAACGCGTTAAAGTGGACGCGTTGTTAAAGTGAACGCGTTGTTAAAGTGAACGCGTTGTTAAAGTGAACGCGTTGTTAAAGTGAACGCGTTGTTAAAGTGAACGCGTTGTTAAAGTGAACGCGTTGTTAAAGTGAACGCGTTAAAGTGAACGCGTTGTTAAAGTGAACGCGTTGTTAAAGTGAACGCGTTGTTAAAGTGAACGCGTTGTTAAAGTGAACGCGTTGTTAAAGTGAACGCGTTAAAATGAACGCGTTAAAGTGAACGCATTGTTAAAGTGAACGCGTTAAAGTGAACGCGTTGTCAAAGTGAACGCGTTGTTAAAGTGAACGCGTTAAAGTGAACGCGTTGTTAAAGTGAACGCGTTGTTAAAGTGAACGCGTTGTTAAAGTGAACGCGTTGTTAAAGTGAACGCGTTGTCAAAGTGAACGCGTTGTTAAAGTGAACGCGTTAAAGTGAACGCGTTGTCAAAGTGAACGCGTTGTTAAAGTGAACGCGTTATAGTGAACGCGTTGTTAAAGTGAACGCGTTGTCAAAGTGAACGCGTTGTTAAAGTGAACGCGTTAAAGTGAACGCGTTGTCAAAGTGAACGCGTTGTTAAAGTGAACGCGTTATAGTGAACGCGTTGTCAAAGTGAACGCGTTAAAGTAAACGCGATTAAGTGAACGCGTTGTTAAAGTGAACGCGTTGTTAAAGTAAACACGTTAAAGTGAACGCGTTGTCAAGGTGAACGCGTTGTCAAAGTGAACGCGTTGTCAAAGTGAACGCGTCAAAGTGAACGCGTTAAAGTGAACGCGTCAAAGTGAACGCGTCAAAGTGAACGCGTTAAAGTGAACGCGTCAAAGTGAACGCGAAGGTCGATCTCTTTCTCTCGAGGCTCGCACGCGGACCGCCCTCGGTGTGTCTCTACAAGACAAACAGCTGATAATTAGGGGGGGGGGGGAGAGGGGTGATCGAGTAATTTAGGCATTCCTGTAATTGATTAACTTAATCATCCGCAGTCGGGAGCCTCACACAAGTTGCGGGCACTTCCAAGTCCGCTTACGATCGGACGTGGCTGAGACGGGTTGCATATTCATCATCATCATCATCAGCAGCAGGGGCCATGGTCAATCCACTGCTGGATGAAAGCCTCCCAAAGCCACCCGATGATGGAATAATCCACGTAGCGCCCGCCTGCGACAACAACTGGTTTCATTGCTCCATCTCCACGCATCACGAGGTTCCTTGGCCGTCCGCTCGGTTATCACGATTGGATGAATGTGTGCGTGTGTGTGTGTAAGTATGCGGTGGTGTAGCGGTTAGCGCGCTGCGCTACGAACCCGGCGGACCGAGTGCGATTCCCGCTCACGGCCATCGCCAGTGACGATTATCCGAACCCGTCCTGGGCCTCCCCTAGGTCGATTCAGCCTCAAATGAGAACCCGGTGCGGTGTGTAAACATCGCAACTGGGGAGACAAAGGCGGCCGGGCGCTGGTTGTTGGTCACCTACCTCCTGGTGTGCCGTGCCGGCCTTCATAGGAGCTCGCTAACAGCACTTGCCCCAACAGTCCGTGAAGGCTGCACGATGGAGGATCTCGTGTCTCTGCTACATCTCTGTTGTGTTTGTTTGTTTGTGTCGGCGGCTCGGCTGGCCGTGGCTCTCCGAAGCGGCGCTCATCAATAATGCACGCGACAGGGCGACGACTCGAGGTTACACTCGAAGGGCCTTGATCGTGGCGACCTTTAGCGCGATTGATGTTGCGCCGCTGTCCGGCAGCCGTCGAGGCGCGCGCCGCGGCCCCACGCGCTCGTCCCGCCGACTGCCACGGCCACCGCAACCACCACCACCGCCACCGCCGCCGCCACCACCGCCGCCGCCGCCGCAACCACCACCACCGCCGCCACCGCTACCACCACCACCACCGCTGCAACCACCACCGCTACCACCGCCGCAACCACCACCACCGCCGCCACCGCTACCACCACCACCGCCGCCACCACCAACTTGGGGCGCCGCGGTGGCTAGGAGATGTTAACTACCTCGCCTGGTATACAGGAGGTCGTGGGTTCGATCCAGACCCTGACGCCTGCTGCTGTATATTTGGAGTTTGCGTGTCTCTCTCTCTCATCATCATCACGGTGGCTAGGAGATGTTAACTGCCTCGCCTGGTCTACAGGAGGTCCTGGGTTCGATCCCGACCATGAGGCCTGCTGCTGTATATTTGGAGTTTGCGTGTCTCTCTTTCTCATCATCATCACGGTGGCTAGGAGATGTTAACTGCCTCGCCTGGTCTACAGGAGGTCCTGGGTTCGATCCCGACCATGAGGCCTGCTGCTGTATATTTGGAGTTTGCGTCTCTCTATTTGTCTCTCTGCCCGTGTCCGCGTGAATCTTTCTCCGGATTCCCCGGCGTTTCACTCCACCACAGTTTTGAAACACGCGTTTAGAGTGTTTGGCTGCTCGAGACGACCATCTGATTAGCCAACTTCGCCGAGCTATCATTGGTGATCGCGAAGTTGCTTCTGAAAAAAATTGCTAAAGAGTTCCGCGGGGCTTACCTGCTAAAATAATAAAAAACTAGTCTTAGAGTACTCTTAGGTTTTTTTCGGTAAAGTCACGTAGGTAAAAAATTTAATTAAAATTAATAAAAGTAATAATAGAAATAAAATAAAATAATACATCACGACGTTTCGGAGGCAACACAAGTCTCCGTCATCAGGTGGGACCGTCACAGCTAGATTTACTGTATCTTTTATTTTATTTCTATTATGACTTTTGTTAATTTTAATTTTATTTTGTACCTACGTGACTTTTCCGAAAAAACCTAAGAGTATGAATCCTTGCAGTCACGAAAGCTTCAAATCTAGAATTAGTCTTAGAGTGTTAAACGTCCGTTGTTGCACGTGCCTAGCGCTAAGCACCCGCGCGCGTGTCCGACCCCAATGATTAAACCATTGATGCATATTCGTTGTACTGTACAGACAGGGCTTCGTTTCAGCCAGAACGGCTCGGCACATCCATCGCGCCTTATTTTATCCTCACGATTCTGCGGTGTGTTCATAAGATTGTAGCAATATAGGGTGCAGTAATTTAGGATTCGTATTATTGTTACTACAGATATGCATATTTTGTATGTATGTTGAACTTCTTTCACACCGTACGTAGCCAACCGTACTAATCGGAGGTGTGGGGGAATGACAACAAATGAAACACAAAAAAGCAGTTCTAAATAAATAACTTTTAAGTGGTAATGCCTTAGGCCGATAACCCCTTACTCCAAGCCAGTCGAGTGAGAAATGAAGCAGTGCCCTGCTGAGTTTGGTCCAGGATCGTACGGCCGTAATGGTTAACGAGAGATGAATGCGGAGATGCATACGAGTATGTCCTTAGAGGTTTGTGTAATGTAGCGAGTTAGATTAAATTTATATTTTAAACGAATTTCATAAATTATGTATGTGACGGTTACAGCCTCCAGGAGTCTCAGGATTCCTCTTCAGGCGAGTCCTGCCCACCAGTTGCCTCGCGTCCTCCTCTATGTACGGAGCGTGCTGAGAAGCTGCACTATCAACCCCAGATACCACAGTTCGATTCCCGGCCGCGGTTAACGTCAGCGTGCGAGTTTAAATCGTAGCCGAGTTCCCCTTCTACGTCGCCCCGCCTCCTCCTTCTCCTCCTTCACCACCAACTCGCACTGCACGCTGACCAGCGTGGTGAAGTATGGTCAAACAATCCCCACGGCCAACACGGTTGCGGTGATGCCTTGCGCTGTGAACTTCTATTGGCTGTGGTCACGAGCCGCTATGGACCTCGCTGTGATGGCTGCTTCGTCCTGTCACGGGGCTGTCGCTCACGCAGGGACGGGTTGGTGGTCAAGGCAATGTCCGCTAGATCTCTCCATCGTGTAACAACTCAACAACAACAATAATAATCATGCTCATAATCACCACCACCACCACTGCCATCATTACTACAGTCATTGTAATCGTCTATCCAGCAGGGCCTTGCAAGAGTCTGGGTTTCGTATTTTGCGCGGCTATGTCTGTATCGCGTACGTCTATGTGTCCGTGTTGTTACGTCTGCCCTGCTTTGTGTATGTGTTTAGAACAAAAACACACTTGTTAAAAAAAAAATCCGCAGTGTTCTTAGCAGGGGACGCAGCTATCGATTCAATAATTATACCATCGAGAGCCCACGAGTGCGCGCTTGCGGTCAGCTCTAACCCCGTACACATGAAACAATGAGCGCAACTTTTGAATGCGTAATCACAATGCCCCCCCCCCCCCCATCATACTTATCACCGCCATCACCGAGGTACGCGCTGATCTAAAAACGTCAGCTCGGCTACAATCCCTGGGATCTTAGCGCGGGATGAACTCTCGGGGTGCCGTTTGCGTTGCGAGTCAGCGGCACGACATCGGCACGACAGCTGCTGCCGCTCCGCTGTTGCTCGAGGTTCGCGCGCCGTGATCAGCTGGACGGACGGCGCGCTCCGCGAAGTTGTCCATGAAGAGTTCGTGAAGAGTTCGTGAAGAGTTCGTGAAGAGTTCGTGAAAGCGTGCGACTCTGGTGGTTGCGTTCGGACGAGCGGCCAGGCGAAGCGCGCCGAGTCAGCGGAGGGGGGTGGGGGGGGGGTTCGGACTCTGGAAATTCGTCAATTGCGGCGCATTTCATGTCTACCCACACCGAGGCATCGTTGCTGCCCGAACGCAAATGGCAACGTGGACTGTATCGCCACACACGCACACACACACAAAGAACAAAAATCCCCCGCATAGCCTTAACAGACTGCCGGGGCGAGTGATGTTAGCAACACACGCGCACACGCAGGCGCGCGCCTGCAAGTTAGTTTGGCAGCAAACATTTTGCCACGTTGTTTGCGGGTGAGCGCAACTGTTCAGCAGCGACGGCACAGATAGCGAGCGAGCCGTGCGGAAGAGGTGAGCCGTCGCCTCGTTGAGCGCGCTGGAGAGAAGGAGGAGGTGGGGGGGGGGTGCGTGTGATATGCGTGGTGTGGGAATCGAGATTTTGCGTCCGCAAATGTTTTTGTTGTGTAAGTCGCGGGCGCTCGGAAACACGCACGCGGGATTAGGCGACACGGGGCGATGCGCGCCACCGTGGCCATGCATGGCTTTAAAGTTAATCAGCAAAGCTTTTGGGAAAAAATCCTAATTTACGAGATATATTAAAATGCTAATTTCTTTGATCGCTGCGATTCTCTGAAGCATTTCTTTTATATGCTGGGAATTTTTTTTTTTATTTCGGGCTGGAGGCGATGGCGTATGGAACGCGCACGTGCGCGTTCCGCGGCGCTGAATGAATGGGGCGCGCGCGTTCGCTCCGAACATGATTAATTATGCCGTCTCTGTGATGAAGAATTGATTTAAATAAATGACTGCTTGATAGTGTAATTAGATAATCCGGGCCGCCTGTGTTTGTTAATTATAAACGAGCTGTGACAAACAGCGCTGCAACTCCTCCGCCCACGCCGAACAGAAGCACGGCACGGCGAAGCTCCGAGGATGAAGAAACACCGTGGGCGCGTGCCGCAATACGCGCACAGACACACACACACAGAGACACACACACACAGAGACACACACACACAGAGACACACACACACAGAGACTCACACACACAGCCAGAGACTCACACACACAGCCAGAGACTCACACACACAGAGACACACACACACAGAGACACACACACACAGAGACACACACACACAGAGACACACACACACAGAGACAGAGACACACACACACAGACCCCCGTATAGCCTGAACAGACTGTAGGGGCAAGTGCTGTTAGCGAGCACCTATGAAGGCCGGAACGGTACACGAGGGGGTGGGTGGCCAGCACCACGCCCGACCGCCTTTGTCTCCCTAGTGGTGATGTTTACACACCACACCAGGTACTCATTTAAGGCTGAGTCGACCTAGGGGAGGCCCAGGACCGGTTCAGATAATCGTCACTGGTGTTAGCCGTGAGCGGGAATCGAACCCGGGTCGCCAGGTTCATAGCGCAGCGCGCTAACCGCTACACTACCACTCCCCACACAGATAGACACACACACACAGACACACACACAGAGACACAGACACACACACAGACACAGAGACACACACAAACAGACACACACAAGATGCAAAGATTCCCCTATAGCCTTCACAGACTGTAGGGTAAGTGCTGTTAGCGAGCACCTATAAAGGCCGGCACGGCTCACGAGGGGGTGGGAGGCCAACACCACGCCCGGCCGCCTTTGTCTCCCTAGTGGCGATGTTTACACACGGCACCAGGTACTCATTTGAGGCTGAGTCGACACACACAAACAGACACACACACACAGACACACACAACCAACACTGCCGCTTGTTTTGGCGCTGCACCCGCGTAGGTGAGTTTTCGGGTTGTGCTGTTAACATCGCGACACTGAATGATGACTCACATCAACGCCAATGCGATGAGACGCGCGCAATAATTAAACACGAATAACTAGACATATATATATTTCAAAATTTCGATACACGAAAGTTGAAATTATTAACAAAAAAAATCCACAAATGGATCAGACCGATAACAAATGGTTTCTATTCAAGTAATTAATTTCCTAACTAAACGCTGATAGCATTTGGTAAATGAGTCGCCACCAGGTTTCCTCCCGCCCTAAACCTAGCGAGATAGCATCTTGCGCGCTTGCAAGTCGAAGCTGCCGATGATCTTAAAGCCGCCTCCATGTGCGACTGGGTACCTGCACGGCGACTCCACCACGCGCCGTGCCCCCAACACTCGCCGAGAAGTTTAACTGGAAGCGACTTGTCTCGGTGCGGCGCTTTCATTCAGCCCGCCCCCAGCCGTTGCCTTGCCCCGAACACAACCGAGGCCCGCACATCTGCCCACCCGCCTTGGGAAACCCGAGCGCAGCTCCTAAACACCCCTCCTGCCTGCTCGCGGCAGCCACCACCACCACCACGCCTAGGCAATTAATTGAACACGCATCCACGCGACGCCGTCATTCCCGAACAACGAGCCGAGCGCGCACAATGCCGCGATCTGGTGGGAATCGCGCGCGGCTGCGCTCCATGGAGCACAACGCGGAGCACAACGCGCTGTTCACTCCTCGCCCCAAACTCCGAGGCGTCGTGCCCCCTCGCTCCGCTCCGACTGAACACGCCGCAAGTCGAATTTAAACCTCGCCACCAACACAGAATACAACACACTGGCCATGGCCCACAGAGAACAACACACTGGACATGACCCACAGAGAACAACACACTGGACATGGCCCACAGAGAACAACACACTGGACATGACCCACAGAGAACAACACACTGGACATGACCCACAGAGAACAACACACTGGACATGGCCCACAGAGAACAACACACTGGACATGGCCCACAGAACACAACACACTGGACATGACCCACAGAGAACAACACACTGGACATGACCCACAGAGAACAACACACTGGACATGGCCCACAGAGAACAACACACTGGACATGGCCCACAGAGAACAACACACTGGACATGACCCACAGAGAACAACACACTGGACATGACCCACAGAGAACAACACACTGGACATGACCCACAGAATACAACACACTGGACATGGCCCACAGAACACAACACACTGGACATGGCCCACAGAGAACAACACACTGGACATGACCCACAGAGAACAACACACTGGACATGACCCACAGAATACAACACACTGGACATGGCCCACAGAACACAACACACTGGACATGGCCCACAGAGAACAACACACTGGACATGACCCACAGAGAACAACACACTGGACATGACCCACAGAATACAACACACTGGACATGACCCACAGAGGACAACACACTCGGCATAGCTCACAGCAACGTGGATACTCGTCACGGCCGCTAAGTCCCTGACGGCCCTGGCGCGTTGTTACAATCGTGGAGTAACATCCAACATTTTATGTGCGGTGGTGCCGCTGACCCGAGGTTGATTTAATTTTTTGAGAATCGGAGTTCTTCATTCTTTCTTCTTTTCCTGACCCTGAATCTCTCGAAGGGGGCGACGCGCGCGGGAGCGGCCGTGACCAGCCTGTCGTTGAATTGTTGTTGATGTCGCTGCTGTGGCCGTGGCGAGCAGCTGGTGAGCCCGTTGGCGAACTCACCGCAGAGAGAAGCTCGGGGAGACGAGACGAGAGACGCGCGGAGGAGCGAGGGGCGCGGATCGGCGGAGTGCGGCCGGACGGACGAGAAGAAGGCGATTGAGCGCTCCCCTCCCTCCCTCTCTCTCTCTCTCTGCGTCACGCTCTGAACGAGGCGCGCAACTTCGTTAATTCTCTCCTGCAAATCCACGGGCTGCTCGGATTTCCTGAATGACGATGATGATGAGGAGGAGGAGAACGATGCTGCTGATGGTGATGATTGGGCACCTGAGCAGCGAAGTGGCTGCTGCTGCTGATGATGATGATGAAGAAGGCGATGATGATGATGATGAAGAAGGCGATGATGCACGGGCGCGGAGCCGTGCTCGAGCGCGCATTCGGTGGGGGGGGGGGGGGGTGGAGATGTTGGGTCTCGTGGCAGAGGGGGCGGCGGTGGTGATGGTGATGGTAGTTAGTGATAGTGGTGTTCGTTGGTGATAGTGATGGCGATAGAGGAGGAGGATGAAGAGGAGGAGGAGGGGTGGCTGGCGACACCACGAAGGACGATGTTAACTTGCCGGTGTGTGGACACGGGCTGGAGTGACGGAGAGACCCTCATCGCTTCGCGTCCTCCTATCCGTCCGCAAGTGATGTCAGCCACAGCGAGCGCCAATCAGCGCAGCGGCTCGAGGTAGGGGTGGTGGTGGTGAGGTGTGTCGCTGTGTGTCCGTGTGTGTCTGTGCGCGCGGTGTGCACGCCTTGGTGGGGCGGGAGGGGGGGGTGGGCTGCTGGGATTAATCCGGACTCGTGTTTGATTCGCATCAAATCCACGAGTCCCCCGGTCGCGCTTCGGCACCCGTCCGGGTCCCCGTATCGCCGCAGCCGCTAGCGGCGCGCCACTCGATTCACTTCGCGTGTATTCATTAACTGCTGTGAATGAACGAGTCTTCGCCGCGCAGTGCTGTTTGTTGTGCGCATTCTACCACGGCGGCGGCGGCTGCTGCTGCTGTTGTTGTTGTTCGTTTGTTTGTTCGCATCGGGACGGGGAGTTGGGAGCTCCGGGGATGTTCTGGCAGCGTCCGTTTTGTCTGGGCACGGTCGCATGCCCGAGGTTGTTGCTCGTATCGGCATCGCGCAAAAAACTTTGTGCTTGGTGATCAGTCGCCCTGCTGCCGAGTGGGTGGGTGCCTTCTCGGCTCTGCTGCTGGCTGCTGTGTCGCTCTCCCGTGTGGTGTTTTCGGGTTTGTGCCGCGTGCTGTTCGGAACGATGTCCCGACGTTTCGCTTCACGTTCTGCGTGCGGTGGTGGGTGGGGTGGGGGCAGCTTTTTCGGGAGTTTAAGGAGGAGAAGCTGCCACTCGGAACGTCGGACATCGTCAGTTTCTTGAAGGAACGCCGCGCGGTGCGAGCCGCGACGCGGATTACAGCTTCGTGTCTCGATCGACGGTACTGCTGCTGCATCTGCTGCAACTGCTGCTGCAGCTGCTGCTGCCACAGTGGTCGCGTGATGGTCAGCGAACTAGACTCGCAATCCAGAGTTTCGCGGGTTCGACTCCAGCTTTTATAGCGTGAACACATTTCATTGTTTTGTTTTTAGTAAATTCATAATTGTTACAATTGTGGTCGGTGTATCCTCAACGCGCGCGCGCGCGTGCGCGTGTGTGTACGTTATGAATATGTATTCATATGAGCGTCTACTTTCCGCTCGGATTGGAGTCGCGAAGCCCGTAGTGGCACGGGCGGCGCGCGGTGCGGAGGAACCGCGACTCCGCGACTGCTTCCGTGGAGCCGCGGGGGGCGACATAAAAAACCAGCGCGACCAGCGCGAATCTCGACGTGGCGCGCGTCGCCCGAGAACAGCGACGAAGACGAGAGCGACGACGGCGACGGCGCGACACGCCGTGGCCAGCGCGTTAACGTGTGTTCGGATTTTCTTAAAATGGCAGTATTGGATTTCAGTTGTGCGCCGGGCTTTGTTCGCGCCCTGCGCTGTTCGCCCTAAAGTGGAAAATGGTCGGGCCCGGCTGAATGCCAGATTAGACCCTATTGCTATTCGAAGGTGGTGGGGGAGTAGGGGAGAGGAGGGGTGGGGGCTTTCACTGAAAGGGTGTGCAGTGAACGAGAAGGGATCAGCTCTGGTGATCGGAAAAAAACCTGGTGCGTTGCTGTGGAGGAGGGGAAGGTGGTGGCTGCGGTGGCGAGGGGATGGAGGGGCCACGATTGTTCACCACCTTCAAAGCCCCCAACCCCCTCTACCCCCCTCGCAACGACCCCAGCAAGACCAACGCCCCCCCCCCCCCCCTCAATACGCGCTTTGCCGGTGCTGGCCCTGGCACGGGGGGTTGGGGAGGTTTGGTGGAGGTTGCGTCTGCCGAGGTGGGGGTGTTAGTTGGGTCCTGCCCCCCCCCCCAGTCTCTGAACCCCGCGGGCGAGGTCCTATTCCCATTCGGTGAGCCCCCCCCCCTCCCAGGTGAATGCGCTTCGGCCCGAAGCGCGCGGCCACCGACGGGCAAAGGCCGCGCCGTGCCGGCCCCGTATGTGGCCGCGGGCCTTTGTGTACGCGCGCCTCTTTTTTCCCCGAGGGATTTTTTTCCACCCTCCTTTTCTTTATTTCGTTCCCCTTTCTCTCTCTCTTTCTCTCTCTTTTCTCTCTCTCTCAGACGCCTTCCTTCAGCCGCGGCGGTTAATGCGCACCATCCCGCCTTTCTCGGAGCGACGCACGGGAAACCGAGCTAATGCGTCTTCACCCACACAAAGCGGTCCGCCACTCGTCCCCCGAGATGCCATCCGTGGTGCGGCCGTCGTCGACACGTGATGTGTACACGCCGCGTTTACACCGCGAGCGCCTTTGCAGAGGGGTCCTTTATCCAGCAGTGGATTGATTACGCCCGCCACCGCCGCTGCTGCTGCTGATGATACATAGACTGCACTCGCTTCTGCCGTGCGGACTGGCTCACCGCGGTGATTGATGCTGTCGAACTCCCCAGAACTCGCCCACAGGAAATTCACTCGCTCGTCGTCAGCGGTGGCGATGGACGAGATATGAATGTTTCTCAGACGCAGATTCTCGCGCGTAATAATATTAATAATGATAACCCCAAACGCTGTTGTCTTTACCATGGAGTAGCGCCTTAATGGGGTAGGGGGTTGGAGTTCTTGTGAGACAAAACATAGCAATCTAAAATGATAACTCCAAGAGGTGTATCATCATAATTAACAAGCCATGGTCGACCCACTGCTGGATGGAGGCCTCCGAAAGCCTCCGCCGCGGTTCACGATCCTGCGATGGAATAATCCAGCGAGTGAACATAATAATTCATCGCTCCATCTCCCCGGCGGAGGGATTTACTCTCGGACGCATTCCATTCTACGGCTGCCACCCCGTTATGAATCTTGACCCTCGGTAATCAATCCCGTCTAGCGGGACGGGTGGCGCGTACGAGTGTCACAGCGGATTCCCCGTGTCCACGACGAGTCCGTGGAGTTGTGGCTCTCACGTTGCATCAAACCAAGCGTCGTCTCTCCCGACCCGTGCCGCGCGTCTCTTGCACACGAACCGCCGTGACCCACCGGCTCATCGCCTTCGTGGGAACGACGTTCAAGGAGCGTTGGTTGGAAAAGCTGAAATTCGTCGCGAATAAGTATCAACATCGCCAAGATGAAGAACGAAATTTGAGTGGTTATTTTGTTGTTGTTGTTGTTGCGCCTCTCAGAAAGGAGGGCGCCGAGCTGAGTGAGTTCAGAAGCAAGGACGGCTCGCTTCAGAGTTCCACATCGGTTCGCCTGTTGCACACTCACTCAATACACGAACCCATCATCAGTGGAACCGAGTAGCTTGCCTCCCGTTGAGTGGGACGCTAAAGCCGATAGAAAGCGGCCGGTTACGAGTACAAGCACACGAACATATGTCGCGTGATAACTGCCCAGGACATGCTGACAATTTAGACATCTTTCGAACAATAATACGAATGTGTCATGATGCACGGCTCTTTATCAATCCACTGCTGAATGAAAGCCTGCACGCATCGTGTCGGTCGTGGGGGCTGTTTGGTTATACTTCACCGTGATGGCCATATCGGGGCTGGCGGAACGCGAGACAGCCAGGACCGGGTCACATTTCACTCGTCACTCAATTTAAAACCCTGGCCGAGACTCGAACTCGGGTTTTTTTTAGTTTGAAATGCCGTGCCCTCGCCGCTGCTCGGTCGCTCCCTCTGTTGCGCTGCGTGAATGTTTATTCAAATCACACCAAACACACGCGGGTTGCCAGATTCGGCGGTGAAATCCGCATCGTCAAACAAACGCAGCATCAACAACGCTAACGGCAACGATTAGCGCGCTGCCTGCGAACCGTTCAAAGAAGCACCAATGCGTCGCAGCGATTGAATGCATTTATTCATCATCAACATCATTAGCCATGGTCAATCCACTGCTAAAGGTCTCCCCGGACCGCTGCCGTCACCACCTCTCACGACCCCGCGATTTGACGACAATAACAACAACAGCAGCAGCAGCAGTCCCACGCCGTTCGCTCTCATCGGCGGCGCACGCACGCGGCCAACTCGGGCGAGTTCCGTTGCGACGAGCGGTGCTCCCCGTTGCGCCTCTGCAATACACAACACGATTTGTGTATCGCAATACACAACGAGTGCTGTGTATCGCTCGGTCTGCTGCCGCTTCCTCTGTCTCCGACCGCTGTCCGCGCGTGACCAGCCCAGAGCCACCGCGCGCTGCCGCTGCTGATAGAGAAACACGTGGGGGTAGCAACACCGCGCGGGCGCTAACCCGGGTCGCCAAAGGTTAATATGATCTCCAAGGGCCGCTTTTTTTTCGTTTTGCAAATCATTCTTGCTGCAGCCGCAGTCGCGAGTCTGTTGACATTAATTGGGGAGGGGGGGATGGGTGGTGGGGGCGGTCTAACGCCTCTTCGCACGAAGCGGCCGCAGTAATCAGATTTCTCTCCTCCCGTACCCTTCCACTCCGCCTTTGTATCTCCCCGCTCCCAGAGGCGTTCGTTGCGTTAAAAGCGAAAGTGATTTTCCGCCCATCATCCTGCCTCCAGCTCTGTTGAGCCGGTGGTGGAAATTCCACATTCCTATGGCTGAGACGAGTCTGGTTTAGACCACGTCACTCGTAATCCCCGTTGGTCTAGCTCTCTCTTTCTCTCTGAATGTATGTATCTTGTGCAGGGTCATTGCACGAAACGTTAGCCCCCGCTTGCTATGTATTTGTTTTAGCTGTCAGGCATTGTTAATAATGGAGGTGGATGGGTTTATGGTTTGGTTGTAATTTTACACCACTTCCAAAACAGCTCCCTAATTATAATGTCCGTACAGCATGATCATGGATATTACTATCCCGTGTGTATAGAACAATAGTGCACACATACACACACACCATCATTTACAGCCCCTTCGTGAAGCCACAACTGGATGAAGGTCTCCGCACGCCCTATAGCGGTCATGGGGAGGTTGTTTGACC